AGTGATGATTAGTTAAAATTATGTGAGTGGATGAATAGTGAATTAAAGTTGATGTGATGTGTAAGAATGATTGGTTGATATTATTTAATTATATTGATAATATTATAGATAGTGAAGTTGAGTTAAAGTTGAATTAAATTTGAGTTTTGATTGGTTTTTTTACTGTACAACCTATATACAACCGCCCCCTTAGTCTCCTATATGGAGTAGCTTAGTCTTCTTTATGGAGTTTTTTTTGCTAAATTTTGGGTTTATGACCTGATTTAAAGGGGGCTATGTATAGGGATTAGTGCCCAACCCTAAAAAAAACTCCAGACTTGTTTTTTTTCAAATTTCCACCTAAAAACATACTCTTTCATCTTTGTTTACATCTTGGATTTGTTCTCTATTTCCGGATTAAGTTTGTATTTTGGATTCATTTCTTGGTCTCTTCATCAATCGTAAGTTATCCTTTTCGTTTAATTATGAAATATGATTGCTTGGTTTGTGGCGATTGATTTTGTTGAATTCGATTTGAGTGGCTAATTCGGTTTGCTAGGGATAGGGGATAATGTTTCGGATTCGATTGTGATTATCGTGCTTGTTGATCATTCAATTTATGCGAGTTGCTTTTAAAAGGGTTTTTAATTATCACCCTTGAATGTTGAATATTGTTGAAGAGTGACACTTCAAACTTGCTATTGATTTTCTCTTGGATATGATTCATTCTCGTGTGATGTTTTTAATTCTAATAGACTAGTCGATTAACCACCTTCTAGTCTCAATTAATCAAATCTTAGAACGGAGTTGATGGATATAGGCTCGTATGTAGACTTGTTTGTAACTGTATTGCCTATGCATTAAACAACTCATTAATTTGTCGTTCATGTTTATTCTCTTGTTACGAAAAGCTATTGAGGATAAATCTCTGAACGAGTAGGTTATTTGAGTCCTTTATCCGAATGATCAATTGTCGGTGATTATGTTTTGACCAAAATGATTATTCCCGACTCCTTAGCTTCTTTATCATCGTCGATTCGTATTTTTTAGTTGATTTGGGATATTGTGTTTCTTGAATTTCTTAGCTGATAATTAAAACCAATCTTTGGCCCCATTTGGTAGATAGCGGATTGAAGATAAATTAGCGGATTGGACTTAATTGAGAGGTTTGACCCGTCAAATCCGCTATTGAGCTTGTTTGGTAAATAGCTTATTTGATAAGCTTTTTGGACCCAAAACTTTAATTTTGAAAAAGCTCATTAGAGGAGCGTTTTGGAGATGGAGGATTCACAAAAAAGCTCATTATTTAATTTGTCTTATTTATTTTACAATCTACATTAGTTTATGGTGGTAATAAATAATAATATGTCATCCATATGATTAATTTATCTATAAAATGTAAAATTCATAACTTCTTCATCAAGTGTTAGTAAATTTAAAATATATATATATATATATATATATATAAATTACCAACTAAAGAATATTAAAAGAATACACCCTAAATAATAAAATGTCCTTATTGGTCATTTTGCAATGTCAAACAGCAATAAGCTTTCAGCTATTTACCAAACACTTATTTAAAAACCGCTAATGCAATCCGCTGGTCAAATCAGCTAATATAATCCGCTATCCGCTGATACAATCCGCTGATCCCCAAACAAGGCCTTTGCATTAGAGTGTTTAGGAACTTATTTTCTCTATTTGTGGTTGAATACACGCGCAAGATATTCCGACTAACCTTACTCGAGAGATCGACCTGGGGAACGAATCTTCGATTTGATACTCGGTAAAGTAACACAATTTGCTACAACATTATATTTAATCAATTAAAATAACAACAAAGTATGATCTTTATCAACAAGATTAGTACGTGGCCTATGTGATGCACGGTGAAAAATATTACGATTGTATTATTATTTAAATATATAAATAACATTAATCATGATTTACCAATTGATTTCAAAATCGGACCGAACAAAAAATGCCCGACCGAGTGGACCACGAACCGATTTATTGATCAATCCGGTTCATTTGAATAAAATGTTTGTTTGTGAACCGATCAACACCAATCGCGAACTGGTAGAATTTGTATGATTTTTAATAAATTTTGTAATATTTAAAATTATTTTTAATATGAATAAAAATACATATTTAAATAAAATAAATTTTAATTAATATTAATAAATTAAATCGTGGCCCAACCAATAATGTATTGAATAAATAACCTGATCAGTTCAATGATGGTCCGGTTATGAGAAACTTCGATTTACTATACATTAATAAAAGTTGTAATAAATATCATTTGGTTTACATAAATATTAATAAAATGATATATAAATATTTATAAATTATTGAACATATTAAAGTAATAAAGTGTTTTTTATATTAAAGTTTCTATTTAGCTTCAATAATCGATTTGGTTTGGTCAAACTGACCCGTGACCAAGGATCAACCCTAGTTGTGTCATAGTTTTGACCTATTTTAAATATCACCTAAAAGTAATTTTATCAACTTGGATAGTAACTTATTTCACCAGATTGAGACAAAGAAATTTTCTTATTTTTCCTTAAATATATTAATTTTATGAGATAATTCATGTAATGAATGTTTATAATAAATAAAAATATATTATGATGGTAGATTATATATCTAAAAATAAATAAATTATTTCTTGTAGATTATATATCTAAAAATAAATAAATTATTTCTTACTTTTGGCATATTTATAAAGTTACGATTTTAAAGAAAAAATATTTTCGATAAAATATACAATGCTAAGAAGAAAAAAAGGAAAAAATAATATATAATGCTAAAAAAAAAGAGATTTTTTGTTTTTTTTTTTATAATTTTTCTTTTAATAGCTAAAGTGTTTAGTGAATAACTACAAACTATTTTAATGTAGATTGTGTGGATTTGTGATGATCGAATTAAATGATCATTAGCATAATAAATGAGTTTCTAGAAATAGATTTTTAAGGTCATTTTCAATCCTTATCTCTAATCGAGTGTAGAGTTTTTGATAAACTAAAATTAAATATCATCTCCAAACATTCTCTCTACATTTTACTCCATGTAAAATATATTGTTATCCTCTTTATTTTATTTTTTTTAATATCAAAATATAATTAAAGTAGATGTATTATTTTACACACATTTAATTATTTAAATTATCATCATACACTTAATAAAAAATAAAAAAAATTAAATAAATATATAAATACTTATATAAAGATTACTTTATTTACTAAAACATGTATATAGTATTTATTAAAATATTAACTAAGTTCGAAGAAAAAGTTCAATTTGTAATCTAATTTGTAAGATAAATTATAGTTTTTTTGTACTTATTTGTACACACTTTATCAAAAAAGCATATTATTTTACCTAAAGAGAAAAATTGATGCATTTCTAAAATTATATTATAATTTAATGGTATTTACTTATATATATTTTTTGTCAAAATTATGCATCAACATACCTAATATACAAAATAAAAAATACAAAAATAGATAATAAGATAAAATTGTAAACTATTACATGCAATTATTCTTGTAAAAGATTTCTAAAAAGACTTCAATTTAGTTGTACTGTGCATATTTTTCGATCTTCTTCACACTAAAAAGATTTAGAACAACAAGATTAACTTAGACAATGAAGGATTATTAACCAAAATCTCCATGCACTCTTTTATTATTATTTGAAAATTGTTACATGTTTGACACAATTCATTATGTAGTATACTTCTTTTGTTTGAGCAATTTAAATAATAATGGAAAAAAATTGAAAACAATTATGAAATAGAAAATATAATTTAAATTACGTGAAACTATAAATCATGTAATGAACTTTACTAGTATTTATAAAAATTACGAGAAAGATGAATTAAATTGGATTCATTTTTTTTTTTTTCAATTGGAATTTAAATGAAGTTATTGAATATAAAATGACTAAATAGCCCAAAGGTCCCCAATCCTAATTTCTCTCTCTACCCCCAAATCCGCCGCCTCCCTATTTTCCTCGGCAGATCGCGAGCCTTCTTCAGCGGCTAGTCGAGCCTGCCGGCGGTCGCCCCTTGGCCGCACAACCGTGGCCCCGAGGGTGCGCTTTCCTGGTCCGGCCGTCTAGGGTGTTGTGGCCTTCCGCCCACGGCCGAGTTTTTCCGAAAATCTGGTGCCGGTTCGTGGTCGGAGTTCGTTGGCGTCCTTGATGGTGCGGAGATTCCGGGTGGGTGTGACAACGGGGGTTGGGCGTGGCTCAGGCTGTTTGTGGTGGCCGGGGCTGAGGCACCCCTCTTGCTTCTTATTCCTCTGTTCCCCTGGCGTGGGGTTCGTGAGGAGGTCGGTGTCGTCGGACTCGGACAGTGGTGTTGGACGGGTTCGGGGCATTGGTGGTGAGGTTGGGTTTCCTCCGGCTAAGGAGCGGGTCGACTCGTGGAGTGGCTTTGAATATAGGAGTTGGCTTCAGATAGGCTCTTGTTAGCAGTTTCAGGAGCTGTTTCTTAGACAATGGACCAGTCTGTTGGGGTCGGCCCTGTGTCCGCTGTTACTTTATGATGGTTTTGGTCTATCTGCTGGGCAAGGGCTTTGTTTTGCTCGTCTGTTTGTCGTTGTTTTAGTGTGTCTGTGTGTGTTTTAATTTGTGCGTGTTGTTTGAGTGTTTTGATTGTATGTGTTGTTGTTTTTCTCCTATTGGGAGTGTGCTATTCTCCTATTGGGAGCGTGTTATTCTCATGTTGGGAGTGTGCTATTCTTCTTTTGGGAGCGTGTTATTTTTCTATTGGGAGTTGTTTAGTTTGTTGTGTTGTGGGTGAATTAGTGTAGTTGATTCTAGGCTACCTCCATGTAGGCCTCCTAAATTCAGCTGTTTGGCTGCTTGGCTATTCTAGCTGTTATCTAGTTGTAATTATGTGGTTTTAATTTTAATAAAATTTCTATCCTTTTGAAAAAAAAAAAAAAAAAATAAAAAAAAAAAAAAAAAAATATAAAATGACTCAATTGAATGGTTGAGTTGATCAGAACTCATATTCAATCACCTCTTAAGTACACTCTCTCTCCTCTCTCTCTCCTCTTCCGATCCTCGCAGCTATGGCGCAAGCTGTAATGGCAAATACTCCGGCGAAACTTCAAGCGAAGGGAAATTGGGCTAACCTATCCAAATACTGTTGTCGCATATATTTCTTACTCATCATCCTTCAGGTGCCTCTATTCAGGTAATCCCCCGAAGACCAAAAAAATCGTACCTTACGTCGATTTGATTTTATGATTCACTTGGTCCATGTTGTTCTTAATAGAGTCCAATCGATGCATTGAGTTTTTATTGCTATCGATAGATCTAAATCAATCGTATTATGTTGAAACTTGAAATATTGTGTTGATCGAGCTATATTGTATTGGATTTTGTAGGGCAAAGTCTGTAAATTCTGCTGGTGAAGCTATATTGTCGTGGGATTTTTATATTTTATAGTGTTAGTCTGAAAATAAGCGATCTCATTGGTAGGGTTTTTTCTAGATCATACAGAGTATCATCCTATTGTCGGCATGCAACAGCAAAAATTAAGATTAAAAGTATCTCTTTCGAAAGAGGCTGATAGTTCGTATGAATTAGTTTTGGTTTACCTTGCAGTAAAAATATTTATGAATCTCTCCTTGGTGCTATTAGTTACGATCAGACTCGGTAACTGATTTATTAGCATGCTAAAACTCATATTAGATGGAGTTAAAATGCATCCTTGGAACGGGCTGACTACTTATATGCTTTGTTGCAGTTGCGATTTCGATCCAAGAAGCATATCAAATCTAAAATAATACTTAAAGTGTGTTTTGCATATGGCAAAGAATGAAATTTTCTCATTGTTCTTGCATGTGAATGGCGCTTAATGAGTTGGAGTTCTTAGTTCTGCTATTTGCTTAGCCCATTTTCGCTGTCGGTTATGCTAGTTTAGCGGCTTTTGGTTATTCACTACATGTGAATGGTGCTTAATGAGTTGGGGTTCTTAGTTGTGATAGTTGCTTTGCCCATTTTCGCTCTCGATTATGCTAGGTTAGCGACTTTTGGTTATTCACTACATGTGAATGGTGCCTAGAATTGGATTTCTTAGTTCTGATAGTTTCTGACCTCATTGTTTCTGGAAGTTCAAGTCTGCTAATATTTGTTTCGGCTGCATTCTGTAGTTACTAAGTATTTCCTTCTTGAGAAAGTTGTTGCCTTTGAGTTGATATCTGCGCGATACATTTAAGAACATCAAGTGTCTAGTTTAGCTAGGAAAGAAAATACCATAACAGTAAACTTCTTATATTTGTATTTTTTCTTTTCAAATTTCGTCTCCAACTCTTGTTTACTATTTGTATGCCTTTCTTTGTAACTTCAGGATTCAGTGTAGATCAGGCACATGCTCAACACCTATTCATGTTACATCTTCACAGTTGATTTCTAGTGAGGTCTTCCCTGTACCAGTGGTGAAAGGCCTTCTCTATCCTGGAGCCATCGTAAAAAGCCTCATCACTAACATGACTCTGCCTAGCTGGAATAACTTGCTCGATATTTATAACTTGACCGACATTAAGAACTCTTCTGCAGTCCCTGACCTGCAGCGCTTAGAGGTTTGCACCTCTTCTCTCCATCTGTCCCTACACAGTCTTCTGCACAGAAACACGATTGCAATTTATTAATTTTTTCTTACTATATTGTCCTGAAAAGTGATTTAATCGATTTCTGATCAGGTTCTTGCCGGAAGCTACTTCTGTGTGGCTGGCTCTCTCATTAACATCATAAAACCTGGAAGAATGAGCATGTTCGGGACCCTCCTTGTTGTCTGGGGTCTCGTAAAGGAAGGGATTCTCAAAAAGCCTGTGGACACTGATCAAACAACTGTGTTCGTGTACCCAACAATGTTAGTTGCTTTGGTTTGTGCTTTCTTATCCGTAAAATATGATATTAAGAAGGTGGCCAGAAGTGCCCCTGCCCAACCTGTGGCAAAGCCTCTCAAGAGCTCGTCCAAATCCAAGCTGAAATGATTGAGGACACGATCTTTTTTTACCAGAATTGAGTGCGGTTTGCTGTAATTTTTCTTGTATTTTATCCTTTTGTAGCTGATGCCTTTTTTTGGAAAGCTAGCTTTTTGGTTAATTTTGCTGGTTTGATTGTAAATCCGGGGTTTAATCCCTTTCCATCATTACTTTATCCGCAATTATGACTCAAGTTCTTCATTTCATTTTTCCCAATTTGCATAACCAAAAGTCGCTAAACTAGAATAACCGATAGAGGTGGGCAAAAAAACCGAATTTTCCGTTCCCGAACTGGACCGAAATGGTCCCGTTCCGAAAAAATAGGGTTCCAATCGGTTTTTAAAATTTTCGTCCCGGTCCCGATCCCGAACCGGTTGAAACAATGTCGGTATCGATTTTTAATATTTTTTTTCCGAACTGTCTCGTTTGTCCCGTTTTATTTTTTTTTGTACAAAAATATTATATATATATATACATATATATATATATTGTACATTAATTTATATTTATTTATAAAATCTTAACAGGCTTTTTTTTTGTACAAAAATTTTAATAGACTTTTATTTTTATTAATGAAAGGAAAACCCAATGACCAATTTACTTATATCTGTTAAGACAATTGGCCCAAAAAATTAAAACATTAATCAATAAAATAATAAACATTAACAATTAACATACACATTTATACTTACGGCCAATGAATGCTCAATGCTTCTCAATGCTTGTCTTGATTGCAACTTTGAATGGAATCAAAGTTTTTTTATTTTTTATTTTTTATTTTTGAAGTGAAATAGGAAATTGTTTGAAGTTTGATTTTTGAACATTTTTTCTCCCGTTTTGTCCCGGTCCCGATTTATACCGATCCGTTTGGGACGAGGTGTCGTCCCGGACCAGTTCAAAAAACCGGGACAGGTCAAATCCCGGACCGTGCCCACCCCTAATAACCGACAGCGAAAATTTTAAGCAGTTGATGGCAATTTGGCGGGAGAATATTAATTCAATATTTTGGCAACAAACTCGAAAGGCCGGCAAAAATAACACGAATATACACTCTTTTTGAGTTGAATCAGCTATAAAGAATGTGCCGTTTGAGATTTGATTTTGAGGTGCTCTGGGATGCAGAAAATATACAGTTCAGTTCTTTGCTCCCCCTAATGAAATATGAACAATCTCAATTTTCATATTTACTATCACAGGGCACGGCTATGGAATGAATTGGCTTAGAACTGCTTTATTAGAAAATGTGCATTTAACCTATTCATGTAACAAAATCTTTACTTCCTGAAAATTAATCTCTCTTTCAAAAGCTTTCACTACATAGAAAACAAAATGGAGCAGAATACCACAGAACTAGACCTGTGTAGAAACACTTTACTGCTACAAAATCACATATTCTAGGCATCTCGGCCAAACTACACAGTTACTCATTTGATTTCCAATTTTCTTCCAAGATAGATTTGATTCAATTTCCAGAACAGTCTCCTGGCTCAGCACAAATCGAGCCTCTCTTCAACCACTGCCAGCTAACGCCTGATTCTTGATCTTTCTCATGAGCTGCTCGTCAGCATATCACGCATTTCCCCTTTAATGCTCAACTCCTTGGCAAGTGACTCACATTGGAAGTTTCGCACTCAATCCACGATTTGGACTTCTTTTATGCGCCATGCATATAGCCGGCAGATTTCTGGGCATGTTTAGATCCTTCGGCTTTTCAGAGACGTCCTATCCTAAGAAAAAGTCAACTCCTCCCCCAATCTATCAGGTAAACCTGCCGTGCCTACACCTATAGAATAATTCCAGATACATTCAAATACCCGTAACGAAGGTTCACCAATAGGAATTAGGTCATGGAAATATATATTGCAGAATTTAAGCAACAGATGACAGTACAGAACGCCCATATTTGCAATCAACATATTGCAGTATTTGAGCTACAAATGACAATACAGAACACCCAAACTTACAATCAACGACCTTTACAGCAAGACCAACACAATGAATCTCACTGAAGAATGACCTGTAACTCGAAATCAAGAATTATTGAACTAAGATTTTCATATTCAGCAACCCCATATAAAATAGAAGATCAAGTAAAATGGAAAATGAGAATGAACAGAGCAATGCCGTGGAATTTCAATTAAAATGTAAGTAACACAAAGTTTAATTAATTTATATATAAAAAGAAAAAAAGATCAAGATATACCTTTTGGAGGCTCCGTGGGTAACAGAAATAATCATCAAACATAAGCTAAAACCAAAAAGATGGGATGATTACTGCAACTTAAAGGAACTTTCTCCTTTCCAAGTTCAAAATGCTTCTGGCATTTCAGATGACATTTTGAATTTAACTTACACTAGTTGGTTACAGATAATAAAGTACAATGGAGGCAGGAAAAGCTCCTTGCATCCCAACGCCTAACTTACCTTTCAGAAAACTTTATCTTCAAGTTTACACATACATGTTGCTCAAAGGATACACCAAAAATCTAGCGATTGGCCTTGTGGACCAACGTGTCAAGTGTTACGAGTCTCATCCTCATCTGCGTTATGTACATCCGTGCGTAGAGAATCAAGACTGCAATTTTGCGGGACTCTCCAAGACGACTCAAAAGGTTTCAATCTCGGGGGAAGGGACAAATATCTCTTCCAGTCCTCAATCAAGATCCTCAGGTCATGAAGTTTGTTATCCATCCCAAAACAACAATTCGCGTGCATGGTGCAAACTCGGTCGAGCTCCTGGCTTGGCTCACAAAAACCACCAAAAAGGGCAGTATCCAAGAACCTCATCTTCAACCCAATGTCCCTCACAAATGAGTCATTCTTAATCCTCTTGAGAACATCCTGATCGTGCAGCCCTGGGTACGTGCTGTGTGAAGCGTACCAAAACTTGTAAAACTCTACAGATCGGCTATTTGACCTAACAAACTTAAACCCTCCGTTGGGTACATTGTTCACTACATCTTCGGCTGAGCCCGAGAAGTGATCGCACGCTATCTGGAAATCGGCGTCCGGGTGAAATTCCGGGAACGGGTCCCGGAACCACATGACGTCAGCGTCGGTGAAGACGAAGCTGTACCCCATCTCGAGGACGGATCGGAGGGAATCGATCCTCCGCCACATCATGTTCAGGTAGTCCGGCGTCATGAAATAGGCCTCGCGCGAGAAATCGGCCCCGGGGGTGACGAGGGCAAAGCAATGGGAGTGTACGGCCCGGCAACGGACGAACGCCTTCCGATCTAACGCGACGATGACCAAATGGTTCAGAAGACGGCGAGTTCGCTCACCGATTCTGAAGCTCTCAAGGAAGAGATCGAGGATGGAGTTCGGGCTCGCCCAGGCCTCGTTCAGGGTCGTCAGTATAACCGATTTATCCGGCATCGCGGCGTCCTGAAGGACTCTCTCGAGGCTACGGTCCTCCGAGGGGAAGGAATCGTCGTCAGTGAGGATGGGGAACACGTGAGGGTCGCGTGGGAGACGGAAGGGCATTAAGTCGGCGGCTCTGTAAAGGAAGATGCAGGATAGAGCTACTGCGAAGAGGAGGATCGGCCAAATTGCAGTGCGGCGGAGGACGGCGGCGTGGGGTGGTAGCTCCATCGGCCGCATAGACCGATTTTTTTTTTTTTTTCCTTTTTGGATATTTG